TCCGTCCGGGGAGGGCGGAATGCCCGCCACAACCCCGGGCGTGGGCTACACGAGCTGGCCGCCCGAGATACCGTCTACATCATCGGTTGGACGTGCTTGGGTGGACACTAACACCACTGCCAGTTGAGGGACCTCACCCCACTCGGTAATGGTAAACCAGCTCAGGTATCGGGGGATCGCCAAGCCCCTAGGTACCCTTGGGTACCCCCCTGCGGGAAGCCGGAAGTACTGTCTAATTGTAAGTTGAGAAAAAGTAGTTCCTTATGCAAAAATGAATAATAAATGTAGAACAAAATTTGTTCATCTAAGGCAGAGGCGCTTAACTTCTTGCTCACGAGCAAATTTCCCCTCCCGAGGTTCCCCTACTATGCGACTGAGATAGTCTCGCTCGAGTTGCGTCGCGGTGGGAGTCCTCCCACCACAACTCCAGCGACTGCCGTTGGTTTATGTTACACATTCTGAGTTTTCGTACCGCATAGTGGGGGAACCTCGGGAGGGGAAATTTGCTCGTGAGCAAGAAGTTAAGCGACTCTGATCTAAGGTTTAGTTTTTGAGAAAATTAGGATTGAAATTTCGTTGCGTATGATTGCACAAGGGCACCAGTTTTAACAATTCCTTAATGGATGTAATAAAATATTGTCGATGAAATGTTGTCTTTGTGGTTTCTTGAACCTAGTAACTCGGAAATGTCGCGTGGACATTGTATGAAAACATTGTATGTCATTCGACGAACCGTATTTTACACTTAAATAGCTATGTAAGTGTAAACATATGCAACGGATTTTCAAACTGAATTTTCTCAAAAACTAAGCTTCGGATGAAAAAATTTTATTCTTCATTTTTTATTTATTTTTGCAGAAGGAATCACCTCCTGCCTGCTTGTACAATACTTTCGGTTACACTCTGTATATGAGCCGTTTATTTTGATAGTGGTGTAAGTCTATTTTTAAAAAAGTCGAGAGTATGCATGAATTGCACGTAAAACATGTTGTTAAATCTTACCATGAAATATCATAGACCAAAATATTTTAAAAATATTTATATG